AGCTATTTTATAGTTGCAACTTTCAGAGCCTGCAGAACATGCAAAGCTTTGAGAGATTTTTCCTAAAAGGATCCATTTCAAACTTTAGTGTTTAAACCACGTGGTCTTTACTCGGGCTTGTCACAAACTGTGTCCCCTATATTTTTAATGAGCTCTTGTTACTAAAAAAAAAACTCATGCACGTGCAATAAATGTTTTTTTTTTTAAAGCCAGTTCGGATTCCTTAAAAATGTAAATTAGTTTCAAACTTTAATACTTCACCTTTGTTTCACGTTCATGTGGAGAAAAGACCATTGTTTTATGTGTGTGTACTTGCGCCAATCATGTCTCAGATAAACTGCCAACAGTTATATCAAAGACATAATTGTCCTAATTGTTTCTAATTTAGCTATTTGGAAGAGAAACATGTCATAAAAGATTTCAAAAAATGTCCCTACATCTTTGTTTTCAACCAATGAACAGTGTTGCGTCTATGTGTTATCAGAAATGATCCAATATCACCTTTAGCCAAAATTCAGAAATGCTTTAAATCATTTTTCAAACTTTAATTGTCTGAACAAACCATTTTGTACTAAATGCAGCGTCCATTAAAAGCTGCAGTTCTCTTTCTAGCACCAGTTTCATCTGTGCATGTGATTGTTCTTAAATGAGAAACGAGCCACGGTTCAGAGGTTGAAAACACTGCTTTAAATATCCGTATTACCAAGATCATGCAGTCAAAATCAATAATTCTAAACTTCTCCGCGTCTATAACTTTAAATAATACTAGTTTCAATAATAGAGCTCCTCTACTTTAAATATACTGCTGTTCTAATCTCCTTGTGTCTCATGCTAAAGCAAGAGTCTAATTAATTTTAACGATTGTCCTGTATTCTTTCATGCAGCTAAATGTGGTGTTATGAACGAATGACCTAGCTAAATGTGTAAATATGACTTAATATGTCTCTGTGCTTTTGTTGTCTGTATATATTTACCTTCTGTCTGTCTCATTTGCCCGGCCACGTCCTCCTCAAATGTCTGTTAATGTCTCTTTATTTTACTCATGGCGTCTTTCAATGTCTTTTGTCTCAAAGTGTCCAATGCCTTTGCCTCAATGCCTTTTTTCTTCATCTTCAAACAATCACTTTTCTTTCTTCTTCTTCTTTTCAATCAATCTTTCTTTTTCCTTCCGATAACTTTTTCTCATAATGTCTTTTCCTTTTCAATCACTTTCTTCTTCTTTCGACAACTTTTCTCATGTCTTTCTTCTTCTTTCTTCTTCTTTCAATCTGACACACCCAAATGTGTCGTGTCCTTCTGCTCGGCTCACACACCGTTCCTCTTCCTGCACATAACTTCACCCAGTTTGTGCAAAAGTCTGTGGCCTGTACTTTGCTGCAGATGATGATGATGATGCTGCTGCTGTTGCTGCAGCCGATACTGCTGCGGATGATGATGATGCTGCTGCTGTTGCTGCAGCCGATACTGCTGGAGATGATGATGATGATGATGCTCGGTTGTGGTTTGTGGCAGGGACGATTTTGGCGATCGGCCAATGAAACAGACAGAAGTTTTCTCAGAAAAAACAGACAAACAAGAAACACAAACAAGTGTGTTAATACAATACAAAACCAATGATTAATTACGAATCTAAATAAACCTATGAAATAATTACTATTAACATTTTAAACATTAAATTCTGAAAACCAAATCTGTATTCAACTGCTATCCTAAGCTCTATTTTTCCAAAAGTATACTGTTCTTTAAGATCAGTTTAAATTTTATATCACCAAAACGTTGGGAAACATGTTTAATAACTTGTCTAGACGTTTGGAGATGGTCAAAAGAATAACACAATGCCTCTTTATAATCTAACTCAAAGTTCTGTGATCATATGACTCCATGACAGTAACATTATCGTGTGTATAAATGTAATTTTCTACAAAAAATATTTGGTATGCCTCTTTCTTAACTGGAGAGAGGGAGAGAGAGAGAGAGCAGACAGAAAGAGGGAGGGGGGGGGCTGAGTGGCCTGTATGCAAGCATTTTTCAGAGAGGGAGCCAGGAGGCAGAAGGAGGGAGAAGGAGGGGCTTTGTGGCTTCTCAAACAGAGGAGTACATGTACGACTGAAATACACCAAATTCATGAACATCCCCTTTAAAATTTGCTAAATTTTCCTCGTTTTTTATCGTGACAATGTTTTATCAGTGGTGAGAGTTCTCTCACGTCAAACGACACTTTACATTTATTTAAATACGTCAGTAATGGAAAACATTACAATTTGCTTACATGAAGAATGCATCACTAGGTACAGCCGGATCTTTTTCGTAATACCTCTGTAACTACTGAAACATTACATCACAATACAAGAGAACTTCCATAACTGATCTGGTCATTTCTCCACATGGAAACTCGTATTTACAGCCAAGTGGCTCTCTTTTTCCTCATTAATCAGATCATTATTATTCAATAGTCAAAATCGAACAGTTTTAAATACTTGGCTTTTTTGTTTAAATTAAATGTACCCTTTTTCCTGTCCCTATTTCTAATTTCACTAAACACTTGTGCCTCTTTTGCACTTTAAAACGGTGTGCCTCTTTTGCACTTCTAAAACCCTTGTGGACTTTGTTTTCCCTTTTTGTTTTTTTTAGAGGGGACCCCAAAATTCCCTCAAGGTAAAACGTCAAATAAACCTGACTATTGTTTTATCGCGTCCGATAAAACGCCCATCACGGCGGGTCTGTCCACACCTGCAGTCATGTTGGGCCGAGATCTCTCTGTCTTCTATTTAAAACAATGTGCAGATTTTAGAAATGGTATCTGCTTACCTGTGTTTTGCAGAGTAGAGAGCCCCCAGACCCAACAGACCCAGTCTATCTATCTGAGCTCATCTTGCGTCTTCTTTCTGTATCAAATCACGTCAAGGGTCACCATCTGATGTCAAAAAATGATTTGACTGACGTGTTCAGAATTTGATACAGAAATAAGGCCAAGAATGCAGGAGTTAAAAATAGAACATTTAATTCTCTTTACAATTAAATATTGATACAAAAACTCTCGGCCTGAAAAATGTGCAGGGGACATCCAGGCGCTCTGCGATGTTCCCTGTCTAACTATCCCTGCTCAGACTGCCTGAAAATCTCCTCCGAGCAGTTTCTATCAGAAAGTCTGATGACGTCACAGGTCCCAGACTGGTCCAGTCTGATCCAGCTTTTTCTGGTTTTGGGAGGCGCGTACTCCAGCTAGCCCATTGGACTCCGGACTCTGTCTGGTCTGGTCTTGGTCTGGTCTGACATCAATCTCCTTCTCCAAACAACTCTTATCTGGCTGGGGGAGCTCTGCATTCCTCACATGGTCTGGCTGACTCGACTAGACCCCACTTAATATGAAATCACTGAAAATATAAACAACGTGTGCAGCATTTCTTGAGATGATGCATTAGGGTCAAGCGACTGCACATCATCCATAATCTTAGCTATTTTGTTTCTTTTTTTGTGTGTGAAAAAACGCATTCTGCCAATAGACAATCCTGCACCTGTCTGCGACACCCTCTCATTCTCTGAAACTCAATTATATAAGCTATATTTTAATACAACACAACAAATTCCTCATCATCTTAAAACATACTGCCTCAGAGTCTGACCTTCAGGCTGATCTACAGGACTTTTCCTAACTTTTTATTTTAATGTTTACACTAAAGGGAAGAGGGCGATGATACGATGGGCAATTAATAATGGAAAATAAACACGCATGCACCCCGCACACACACAGGCACGCACACACGCGCACAGGCACGCAGACCCACACTGGCACACACAGGCACGCACACACACGCAGACACAATGGCACGCTGACACACGCACACAGGCGCGCATACAGGCACGCACACGCACACACACATACACACACTAAAAGTTCTACAAACTGAACAAGTAATGCGCTGCAGTACGTGTGTCTATACTTTGTGTCAAATGTAAACGGTTGGCTCTGCATCGCTAACTTACCGCTTTGTTTTCATCACGACTTGGGCACATGTGAGTCCAACAACCCAAAACATTAGCATACAGCACCGGCTCCACACGGAGTCAAGGTGCGTTCACAGACGGGGGAAACCGTGGGAATTTTTAGCTTTTGCCGGAAAAAGTGCGGAAGATTCTCAAGATTAACATTATTACATTGCTGTCTTCCGAGGGGGGCACTTGGGGTGGCAAGGATATTTTTAGAGGTGGCAGTGGCCACCCTGGCTACCCCTCTGGCTCCGCCACTGCGTGCTAGCCCGGTGCAGTTTCCCCAAACTCACGCTACATCAGTTTCATCACTCGCTTTACAAACACATCCAAAACTGATGTTCCTTACCTTAAAGTTACTGGTCAGGCCCTTTGTAATGATGAAGAAGGGAAACACGCTGTCCACCTGCCGAGGACCGCAACAAGTCCTGCTCCTCCTCCATGTAATAATCCGTAAAAAACTCCGAAAACACGATGCACGAGTCCTTGTGCTTTGGTCAAATCTGTCAGTCCGTCCAACGATAATCCTCCAGTATTCTCACTTTAGCCGTTTTTCAGCGGTTTACAGAGACGTGTTTATTGTTTACATTTCAGCCGCTCTGAGATGATGGTGGGCGGTGCCCGGGGGCGAGTATTTTATTCGTAGGTAGGTTCTGCCACAGGGACCGATTTCAGCCAATCAGAAAGCTAGTCTGAAGTGACGTGTTCAACGCGCCGGCAGACGACTGTGAATTACTAGGCAAATGTGGATATAACCATTCCAAAAAAACAACACAGTAGTTCTCCAATATTCAAGCCTGAAAGGGCTATAGATTTCTACCATCTAATATTTAGTGAACCTTATGTCCTCTACACTTCTACATAGACTTAAATCGCTTTAACCCCAAGATAAAAGAATTAACAACGCTTAAATAGGTTTGCATTAACGCCGTTATTAACAAGTTTGACTGACAGCTATTTTTTTCCTGGCTATATTCATTTTCCTATTTCTCCTAGAATAATTGACTGACAAGTTAGAGGAAAAACTACAAAACACAACATTGTTGGAAAATTGCAAACTACGAAAGGGCCTGCAATGATCTGATTGGCTGAGCAAGAGCATAAATGCCTATACTTGACTTTTCTGTGTGAAATAAACTGATCAAGAAACTGTTATAGAGACCAACAAACCAAATGTAAAAATGATTCATAAGCTATTTTTAATCATCAGAAAATACAATTTAGTCGTCCACACCTTTGCCAGTTTACAGAATGGCAGCTGTGACATTGCTTTGGCTCACATTAACCCAGGAGACCACATTGGACCTACTATACTTACTTTGATCTTGTTCTTGATGGTGCGGAGCTTGTCCTGGGCCGATGCCAGCTCCAGGTTGGCCTTGCTCAGAGCCTGCCTCTTGGGCTCCACCTCACAGTAGACCTGGTAGAACTTGACAATGTTCAGCACCCAGGAGCAGAGGCCCGCAGCTGCCTGGGACTTGGACGCCACCAGGTCCGGCTGGAACTCTTTGTCCTGTGCACAACAAGAGTCACACAGGTATGAGGAGTGTTCAGATCAGGGGAGGGCCAGTGTTTTCTCTGAGGGGCGGCATTGGGATATCAGTGCATCGTGGAGGAACAAACTTGTTTGAAAGTGGTTACCATTTAATTTAAATGTGAAAAGCTTGATTTGTCCACAGTGGGGAATTTCAGTGTTGCAGCACAAAAACAGAACAGTAGAAAAGGGGAAAACGAACAAACAAAATCACTTAAATCAGAGTTGCTGTAAAAAAGTTTTTTAAAAATAACTTGCAGATACAGAATACGGATACAACAATAAGAGCCACTGTCATAGTCCAGTCATATGCTATGTTGTAGAGTTGGTTGTTGTTGTGCTTCGGTGCTGGCACAGGTGGTTAGTTAGTTTGTTAGTTAGATACTACTATTGATCCCCGTAGGAAAAATGCAGGTGTCCGTCCAGTAGCAGCAAAAACACATCCATTCACACAAACAAACCAAATGAATTGATTATTCTAAAAAGCTAACAAAAGTAATACAATTCAACAACACTTTAGGTCACAGCAGCAGAGGTGGAGCCGCTTGGTTCGGACCATTTTCTCTGCTCTAGTCCAAAGTAAAATGCTGAATGCTTCATTCGCTTTTTCAATAAGACAGCGGTGAGTAAAAGTGGTGGTGAGCTTTCCAATGTTTGATCAAGTTGCTGGTGTTATACGTGTTGGTGTTGGACCCACCTCGTGACAGTTTTGCTTTACACAAGGTACAGTTTGCTTTACTGTTGTCACTTGCTTACTTTAAAAAACTGCTATACGGCTGACATTTGATCGGTTCCCCGCATCGGGTCCTATGGTGTGAGTACGAGTACGAGTAAAAGCCTATGGTAAATGCTAACTTACTGTGTGCAATAGTAGCAAATATGTGATGCTAAACAACTGCTGATAGTGACAGTTCCCATTCTGAAGCTGGTTCCCACAAATATACAAACGTAGCTCTCTGGGTGAAAAGGTTGGAGACCCCTGCCATAGGCCACAGGTGTGCCTAGAGCTCATTTTAACAACACACACTAACATAATAAATCATAAAATAATTGAGAAGAGATTCCACATAATCAACATTACCTCTGTGTTCCTGTGATTGGCCAGAGCTCTATCTTATCTGAAAAACAGATGAGCTTATCGTGGTGATGGGTAATTTGATATACTCACTCATCTGCCTCATCCCAGACCGCCGACACTAAATTAGACTCTGTCATAATGCATGTAATACAGAGGGAGAAGCGCTTCATGTTAGCAATTATTCTGCTCATTAACTTCTCTCCTGAAACGTAATAATTGAAAGTACAGTACAAATGAATGTGCTGTCTTTTATGTGACGTATGGCTTCCGTCCATATGAAGCATCTGAGCTTAGGTGGGAAGAAAATTGGTTGGAATGGATTTTTGAAGACAAGGCACCACAAGATGGAGAAGTTGACATACTTTTAACAGTATGCAGATTTTGTTATGGCATTATGAAATTTCCCCACTGTGGGACGAATAAAATCAAAAATCTTAAATCATGTTCAGAATAGCAGCATATCAAGAACATTGAATCAGAATCAGAATCAGAATCAGAATCATTTTTATTGCCAACGTAAGTAACGGGAGGTCACAGACTTGGAAATTGCTTTGGCTCAGTGCAACAGTCGAAAAGAGATAATAAAAATAAGAATAAAAAACACTTCTAAAGAATAAATTTAAATTTAAAATAGAGTTACAGTTACTATTTACAATATACAAGTGCACATGGTGCACACAATGTAAGGTGAATGACACAATGTGCAACTTCTGACAATGAGTGGATAACTTAAAATGAACAGCCATATGAAAAGTGTATATTTGGTTTTGTACTGATTTAGAGAGATCTGGAGCACCTGGAGGTAAACCTAGCAAGACACGGGGAGAACATGCAAACTCCACTCAGTAAGGACTGGCTGTGAAATCAAACCTGGGACTTTATGTCTGTGAGGCACAAGTGCAACAGAGCAGTAGCTGATGTAACGTAACCTAAAATCAAGATATTATGGTGCTATATTTCTAAGCCTATTTTTATTACAACAATCTAATGCAGCTCGCGGAAATTCAATTTGGAAGACGTCAGCCAAAGCCACCCCTTCCAGGCCGGCCTCGCATCCCCAGCCTATCGCACAGCAAACGCCCTCTTCCAATCAATCCGTGCCGGCCAGGCCAGCCGCTTAAAAGCGGAGAAACTCCCACTTCACGGCCTTCTCGAAGCCTTGCAAAGAGTTGTTCTGGTCCCTGCTGTCCTCTGTCTTGCTGCGTGTGGTCTGCTCCTCCTCCGCGTCGCTGCACCTGCTGCGGGTCTCGTGCTGTGGTCCGTGGGTCTTTGCCGCTCTCCTCCTTTGCGGGCACTTTCTGCGGGTTCGCCGCTGCTCGTCACGTCGCGGCCTGCTGCTGCATACGGCCGGTCTGGCCCGGTGCGGTGGGAGCCGTGCGCATCCCTGCCTCCTCGTGCCGGTACGGCGTGGTCCCGTTGTGTCGTCCCTTGTCTTCTGGCGTTGTGGGTAAGTATGAGATCTGCGGACGGTTTATTCCCCTCGCATTGTACTGCAGGCTCAGTTGGCCCCGTGCATTGGTGGGCAAGCTGCAGTTTAAAGCCCTCGCATTGGTCTGCAGGCTCTCTTTAACCAAGCTCCGTTTAAATCCCTCTCGGACTGCGGCTCTAAGTTTAAATCCTTCACTCTGACTGCAAGCTCCGTTTAATCCCTCACATTGGACTGCAAGCTCTCAGTTTTAATCTCTCACATTGGACTGCATGCTCTCAGTTTTAATCCCTCACTTTGGCCTGCAGGCTCTCTTTAAATCCCTCTCTGGACTACGAGCTCTGTTTAAATCCTTCTCTTTGGACTGCAAGCCCTGTTTAAATCCCTCTTGGACTGCGGCTCCCAAATTGAATCCCTCACATTGGACTGCGAGCTCTCAGTTTAATCCCTCACGGAACTGCTTATATCTGGAACTGCTTATATCTGGAACTGCTTATATCTGGAACTGTTATACCGTATATGGAACTGCTTATATCTGGAACTGCTTATATATGGAACTGCTTATATATGGAACTGCTTATATATGGAACTGCTTATATATGGAACTGCTCATATTGGAACTGCTTATACCTGGAACTGCTTATATGGTACTGCTTATACAGTATATGGAACTGCATATATTGGTACTGCTTATTTCTGGAACTGCTTATACAGTATATAACAAAAAATAAAACTGCAGGCTCTGTTGGATCCCTCACACTGGACTGTAAGCTCTCAGTTTAAACTCCTCACTTGGACTGCGGGCTCAGTTAATCCCTCACTTGGACCGTAAACTCTGTTTAAATCCCTCACACTGGACTGCAGCTCTCGGTTTAATCCCTCACTTGGACTACAAGCTCTCAGTTATAAATCCCTCTTTTAGGACTGCGGGCAATGTTTGAATCCCTCACACTGGACTACAAGCTCTCAGTATTAATCCCTCACTTTGGACTACAGGTCGTTAAACTCCCTCACACCGGACTGCAGGCTCTCAGTTAAACGCCTCACTTGGACTGCGGGCTCAGTTTTAATACCTCACTTTGGACTGCAAGCTCTGTTTGAATCCCTCACATTGGACTGCAAGCTCTGTTTAGGTCCCTCGGCGTCTCGTGTCCCGCAACCTCTTCCCGGCTCTCCGTGAGCCCCAAGTCGTCACGCGGCTCGGGCGCGGGAGGTGTCCGTGGGCTACGTCATTGGCCCCTTCTCTCCGTCTCGCTCTAACCCGATGGGCATCGGCACCCGCAAGCACTCCAGGAAGAAGCGTCTCATTTTCGTCCTCTCCTGTCCCCGCTCCGGGCCTGCCCGAGCATCAACAGCCCCTTCCCTCCAGCGCCCTTCTCCCTGCAGTCCGCTACCGTGGACCACGCGATCAGGCTGATAAGACTTTCGGCCCCTGCTCCTGGCTCTCCAAGGCCGTCATCCCGGACGCGTTCAAGCTGCTGCCTTCCACCCCGACCACTGGCGCTGTTCAGGGGTCAAGTGGCGTCGGAGTTCTTCTTTCGCAGTGCGCCTCACCTTTGACTGCCGGAGTAGTCCCTCTCGTTCAACAATCTCTCGGAGGCGCCGTGTCGGTTTCTGCTTAATTACGCGCGGCTCCCCTCTGTCTGCATCTCCCCGATGATTCCCTCGTAGTCGACCCACCCTCAGACTGCTCCGGGGGCTCTCTCCGCAAGCTCAGGCCCGCCTTCTCTGCCCTCGGATTCCTTCACTCCGGAAAGACCACAGGCCCCGCCACCGCTCTGGAGTTTTTCGGCATCCGCTTCGACACACGCGCCATGGAGGCCTCCCTCCCGCTGGACAAGCTCGAACGCATCCGCGCTTCTCCCGGTCTGCCTTGTCCTTCCCGTCACTTTCGAGGCGTCCTTGCTCTCCCTCCTCGGGCATCTTAATTATGCCATCCGTATCATTCCCCAAGGTCGTTCTTTTATTTCCAGACTCCTCTCCCTCGCCGGCTCCGTCTCCTCCCTCAATGACGCCGTCTGCCCGGACGCGGGGTGCCGCTCCGACCTGGCGTTCCGGTCCCGTCTGCTGAGCCGCTGGGATGGTGTATCTTTTTTTTACAGTGACGTCATCCTGTCTCAGATGCCCCGCGGTTCTTCACGGACGCAGCCCCGTCCGTGGGTTTTGGGGGTTTTTCCAGGACCAGTGGTTCGCCGGGCCCCGGCCCGACGCTTTCCCTTGAAGCATCTCCTCCGCGCTCCACGAGATATATCCCGTGACCGTAGCCTGCGTGCTGCGGAACCATACGTGGCATAGGAAAAGGATTTCCGTGACGTGCGACAACCTCGACGTCGTTGAAATAATTAACAGAGGTCGTTCATCCTCTCCCCAAATCATGTCTTCCTTAGACGCATCACATGGCTCTCAGTCCTGAACAATTTATCATCACTGCTCGTCACGTCCCTCGTCACCTTAACTGTCTTGCTGACTCTCTCTCTCGCTTTAAATTCCAGGAGTTCTGACGCCTTTGCCCTTCTGCCAATTCATCGCCATGCCAGATCCCCTGCATGGAATCCCTCGCCCTGGTCTAGTCCCTCCGTCTCTTCACCTTCTCTCCTCCGCTGCATCCTATATGAAAATGGGCTTCTTACGCATAAGCGAATTCACAAACTCTCACGCCACCTTTAATGCATCCCGAGACATTGCCTTCTCTGACCTGTCATATTATCCCGACTACTTCAACCTCCACCTCAAGCATTCCAAACGCAAAGGCGCTTGCAACATAGTCATAGCTCGTTCTGACACTTCTCCCTGTCCCTACAGATCCATGATGCATTACACTCGCCTCCGCTCTCGGAAAGGAGATCTCAACGGACCGCTTCCTCACTCCCGATAACCTCCCCATGACATCCAACTGGTTCAGAGCCCAACTCAAGTCTGTACTGCTGCTTGTAACTTGTCCCCTCATCTCTACACAGCTCACTCTTTTCGGATAGGCGCTGCCACGCGCGCCGCTTCCCTGGGTCTCCCCGTTCTGCCCTTCAGCAGCTGGGCCGCTGGTCATCATCGGCCCTCTCCTCATACACTTCGACTATTCTGGCAGCCCAGCGTCTCTTGGCATCTCCATAAAACACTCGCAAACTTCCTGGTGGCGGCAGCAGCTGAGCATCTATAGATAGCGGTCACAGTATATAGCGGTCACAGTATATAGCGGTCACAGTATATAGCGGTCACAGTATATAGCGGTCACGACGTCTGTCCCCTGCAAACCAGGCTTGCAAAACTCCATCAACACTCAGCCTTTTGGGGATTGTGCGCGCACTCTCGCAGGAGCCTCGCTGACTGAACGCCGCACCGGGGCCTAGGGCGCCAAACTACCTCTCAATAAAATACTTCAAAGGCATTCTTGTTTCCTCGTCTCTCCAGATTGAATTGGATTTTAGGCCTAATATATTGAAGCGTAAGAGTCATAATTGGTAACCTTACCCAATACACAGACACCAAAAATGTCAAATCAGACATTTCAGAAAGTTTACACAAATTCAATACGCACAAAGTGACATACAGTATTTCAAGCATTGATTGATTAAACAAAACACAAATGTTAGCCATATATGAAAGAAAACCACCTCCTCGTTCATCTTTTTTTTTCTCAATCTTGAGGCCAGGTGTCCATCCTTCATACATCCAAGTTTGCATAAACTCAACACAACATTTAGCACAAAGTCAATGTGAATCTCGAGCATTATTCAGAAATGACTGGAAGTCAGAGCAATGGGGGGATCATTTATTGATAAGTACTCAAAAATAACTCTCAAAGAAATCTATTAATAAAGCAAACAGAGGGAAAAAACAGTACTTTGGGAAAAAAATTTTAATTGAGAATGCAAGATAAATGTAACGCTCTGGTGAAGTATGGCCCATTGAATATATATTGAATGATTGGAATAATAATGTCCTGGACAGCCAATAGGTCTGGTGATTCTGGTGAGTTGGTCACATAAGGGTTCCCTTGATTTAGTGTGTAATGCCCTCATATGTCCTTACCATATTTTCATTCAGGAGGGGTGAAATTCCTATTTTTCCAGCCATTTTATGTATCAGGCATTGTTGTCAATTGGTATTATTATTATGGCCTATTCTATGATGGTGTCATTGGTGGGACTCTATTTGAGCGTGTGGGCAAGGACGTCAGAAGCCGACTCAAAAGCACGGCCAGCACCTTTACCAGGAGGACCCGTTTCCTCGGATATTAAATCGCTTTTAGGAGTTATTTTGTGTTTGGATTACCAAGACGGTTGTGGATCTAACGGAGACTGTGGATTATTACCATCGGTCGCTGCTTGGGCTTTCAGGGACCGGTTTGTTGGGACTATGGTGAATGCGTGGGGGGCCGTGCAGTTGGAAACCGTGGGCTTCAGACTGACACTGACTTTTCTTTTTTTTGTTTTCAAATTTTGGAGTGCAAATTAAAACTTAGATCACAGGGACTGTGTTTGTGATGTTTATTTTAATTATTTTGTGGGATCGCGCTTGAGCGTGGGGGGTGTTGGCTTTCATATTGATGAAAGGCATTGTTCATACCTGTTCTTATTTCACCCCACTGATGTGGACCCATCTTCCAGTCGCGTCCTTTTTAAAGAGTGTTAGCTCTGTCGTTTTGGGAGATAGGCAAGTTGTTACAAGTGTGCCCCGGGGAAGCAGTGGCTTACAGTAGTAGTATATCACACCATGTAAATAGTGTGAAGAATAATGTGTCAAATAATGTGTTTGAACGTTGAAAAAACCGCTGTATAAAACCAATATGTAATTGTATATACGTTTTTGAATGTGTCCAAAATTCTATATATGCTTATAGCATCACTAATCCGATTCGGTCAAAACTGTTACAATCTATGTTGTTCAGCCCTGGACAAATCGGTAAATAAAGTGGCCCTCCTACTTAGGTTTGGACACCCTGGCTTTACAGGTATTATGTATGAAATATGAGTAAGATATAATTGGTCCACTTTCCATTACCTTCAATACCTTCATATATCTCACGTCCGAGCTGCACATGGGCAGTGGATAGGTGGAGTCTTGTTTATGGAGCCAGTTAGCAACTAAACGCTGGTTCTTTGTGATTTTGGGCTACAATTAAGAGCAGCCAAGCAAAAAAAATGGCTGGTGGGGGTCATTGAGAACAAAGGAAAGACGTTTAAAGAATATCACTAGTGTGGCCCGGGACTTCTGCCAAATTGTCATGGCAGACCTGTTTTCTTGCAAAATGTCACCTAAAACCTTGAACAATTCCATCCTTACCCGTGTGCGTTCTCTGGTGAGCTTTGATGGTGTGAACTTTTGGTGTTAGACCTTCCTGCAGCCGTTGAACTGACAATCTAATGCACCTCTCTTGTTTCTCGGGAATCTCTGGCCCTCCCCCGTGCTACGGTGCTCAACACACCAAAGCCTCCGCCGCTTGGCACTGCGGACGGTAATGCGTGCGCCGCCACCAGCCCACCTTTTTTGGCCACAAGCTTCCAGCGTCAATGTTACCGTCCACCGCTGCTGTATAGAGTCTGCATTGGTTTTGAATCAGATGTCTTCCCTGCTCAGGGGAAGACGGTGGCGTTAGCGACGTCACGGCCACGTGGGGTGCCGCATTGATGCCTTCGAGCTCGGGGAGAGGAGTGGGCAGGGTTTTGGAGTGGATCTTAGGGGAGGCTTTTGAGTAGGATATGCTGGGGTGGGAGGGCTGGGAGAGTTCTTGCAAAGATGGTTTAAAGTGGATCCATGAAGCTCTTCGTCGCTGTCAGAGCCGGGCATGAATAGGGAGTGAGTAGTCGGTTCCAGTTCCTCCTCAAATGTTCAGAAAGACGTTTGGGGTTCGTATGAAGGTAGCGCTCCAACTCCAAGCCGGTCTGCAAGGAGGGGAAGTCAGATGATTTTGATAAGTTTTCAAATAATTGGTTAACTTGAAAAAAACGTAGTCCCTCACTGAACGCGGTTCCCTATCAATATTCATATGTTGTTTTTAGATATAAAAAAATCTGCTATACATGTTACAGATCTTTCACGACCTTCTGGGAAAGTTATACAAGGCAATGGCCTTGTAATAAGGTCATTTGGCTAAATTACAGCTTATATTTGGTCACTGTGTTTATACTGAACATGATTTCTGAAAAATTACTTGTGGAAAGGTTAAGTAATATCAGCACATTTTTTCTATACAAACTTTTCTAGATGGCAAAGCATAACAAGCAGCCGAGGTCCTTAAAGAGCGACTAAACACCTGTGCCCAGCCTTACTCCGCCCACATGAAGATTTGAAAATGTTCTCTAAAAAGGGCGTTGCCTGGAGGACCAAGGGAGGCGTGGTCTGGGCTGTGATGGACAGCTCACTTGTCACACAAAAAAAAAGTTTTCATTGCTGCTTAAAGCAATAGTTTACACACCAGAAAGTGTCATTCCACCCTTGTTTACACACTAAGATTATTGCAGAGCTACACACCTGAACCTAATCCACATAATTATCTCAGAATTACTCATGTAATTTAATTTAAAACCACTAGATGTCGCCAGGGTACTCCAACCTGCAGCTGGGGCATGTGTGAGAGTTGAATGGGTTTATATCACCGGCCAGACAGACGCACGACACACACACACAAACTGATGTCACACAGTATTACAGAGTCAATGGAGAGGCCAGGACCAAATTCAAATGTAGTACCACCAAAACAGGAAGAGGGGGCGCCACACAGACATTTTTTGGCTCAAAAGTTAGATTTTATCTAATTTGAACTAAAATGTCAAAAAAGATTTGTTGTTTAGTCGCTCTTTAAGTTCCTCAGTCTCCACAATGGTGAAGGGTAGGCATTCTTTTACGACTAAATCCAGGACTGCCTGGTCCAAAGCATTCTTCCAAGATGCTGGTGTGAAATAATAAAACAACATATTAACAAAAAAACCATGAGGAAGTCGTTCAATATCTCTATACCTTTGTTAATGCTGTGTGTATTTAAATCACGCTCATGCTTTGTCCTAAAATGCCTGAGCATCGAGGATGTGCTTTTATTTATACATGTGAGTTCAGATGAACAAATGCGGCATTTGACCTGCATGAAATTAAATATTGAATGTAGATAAAGCGTGAAAAATGAAATACAAACGTTACCTAATTTGTTGTTAACACGTCAAAATGATCCCAAACTGCAGAATACTTTCTTTTGGTGGCAGGCTCCATTTTGATGCTGGAGAAAGGGATGTTTTTTTTCTTTTTCTGGGAGAGATCCATCCCGGTGACACCGGCAGACGCGGAACCTTTTTAACAGTTTGCCGCGTCGGTGACAAGCGACACTGCATCTGTATTGGTCACGTGGCTTTTTCGTAAAGCGACACACGCGCCAAAACGGGGTTTCGCTAAACGAACTCGGCACACTCAGTGTTGCTGGAACCATCACTGGTACTTGTAAACAAAAGTTTCTTCTATGACTGTAAAAGTGCCGCTACAGAAGCACCAGCGTCATCATCAAAGCTCTGGAGCGCTGGAACGCTGACGCCTCGTGCACCAGACGCACATTCTCTAGTTTTCAGACGCGGGGGTCTTCAGACCAGAAGTCCTGGCCTGCGGTGGCACGCACCAGAAGTGGCGGAAGTAGCGGAAGTAGCGGGCGGGCTTTGATGCTAATGGGTTAAGCTAGCGGCTTTTTGTGTAAAGTTCTTCTCCAATAATGCAGCTCTACAGCGTCTCTGTCCAGAGACCTTCCAGAGACTTTATAAAACAGCAGTACGTGTTCACGGAGGTGCACCATACGTTTATTTTATTATTAAACCTTACTTCCGCATCGGCGCACACGCTCGAAGCAGTTGTATAAAGTCCCGGGAGCATGAAAACTCACATGTTAACAAGCACTATGTCCCCCATTGTCAACCCTGGTTTACCTGGTGTAGCTCCTGTTTTGGCTGTTTACGAGTATTTTCATTGTGCTCGCTCAGACCACTTTGCGGCTCTCTGATTGGTCGCTGCACGAGCTCCTGCGCCTTTGCTGCACTTTGCCACGCAGTCCGTGCGTGCATTTTGAGACGCACATGCAGTTAGACGCTCAAACACGCGTCAACATTGAAAATCGACGCAACCCATGATCCTGTGTGAAAGCAGCATTGTCTTCATGAACTTCACTTCATTGGCAGCTCTTAAGTTTTTGAGGGCAAATGTTTTCTCTGTACTACCTGAAAAAAGAAATGCGTTTGTCAAATGTCCAGTTTCACTGTGTGGGAGGAAGTGCATCCTCACCTCGAACTGCGCTTGTTTGCAAACACACAAAGAACATTCATGTTGAACTGTTCACAAATTGCATGCCCAAATAATTCTGACACATTTCATAGCTTTTGCAGTTAAAATATTTGTGAAATATTTACATTTGTAGTTTTCGCAACTGATGGTCAACGCTGTCATGAGTCTGAAAAATCTGTTTTGCTGCAGCTCACCAGCATGGTGCATATGGTCTGACTGCCGGTGATGCGAACACAGCTCTGACTCCAGTCATTCAGGGGAGCAGGCGATCCTTGGCAAAAGGCCCCCATCTTCTAGAGAACCCCCAACAGACAACCATGGAACACGGATGAATGCATTCTCCACAACAAACTTCAAGAGCTACTTTGTTTATGATAAATACACTTCAATTACATTTCAAATAAAACTATCACAGAGTTATTTGTGAAATAAAGGGAACATCACATACAAAAACAATTTAAGAGCCAAATAGAGGGTGTAAGTCTGTTTGTCTGAAACTAAATAGCCTTCATACGCTACAGAATACAATTTAGATAGAACTGTGGGGCTTTGCAGTGGGTGCAGCTCCATGATATGGGACAGTTTTCCCGTGACTGAAGCAAACTTACAGTACCAACACATTTTGTGCTTTCTGCCAAGGTCCATTCATCACAAAGTACATCTGCAGCGTGTGAAGAAAAAGCACTTTGGCTTTTGTCTCTCCGATCACGTCCTGGTCCCTGGAACACGCTCCTACACTCTTAGGCTATATCCACACGAAGACAAAACGCTTATAATTTCAGAAACTTTTTCTGTAAACACGGAGTTAGCTCAGTAAATGTGTGCGTCCATATGAATGTAGTCAATACGCCTGAAAACGCTGTGAAACTATGCCAGACCTGTTGGTGGCGCTGTGACGCAATGACGGGATCAAGCCCAAACTTCCGTGGGCATGCGCGGAATTTTGTAAACAGACAACATGGCGAGTGGGCGAGCTGGTACTACATTAGTATGGACGGACGATGAGGTTGAACTGTTGCTTCGGGTCACACTGGATTACAAAACCAACAAGCTACATTGTTGTTGTCATTATTTTCTGAGTGCGGCGCATGCGTGCTTTAACAGGAGGCGGGGCGATGACGCAAGCGTCTCAGATACATTGCGGAGAGGCAGTAACCACGGAGCGGCATATACGGAGTTTTGAAATCTTTCCACTCTGGGACCTAGTTTCAAAAATGTTCGTTTACACCCCCCCAAAACGCCGGCCTCGTATGGACGATACACTGGATTGATAAAGTATTTTAGGCGTTTAGGCCTGAGCTTGACTTCGTGTGGACAGGGCCTTAAGAAGCAGCCATATGCATCCATTGGCCTTCTCTGGAACATTTACACATTCACATAATGTCTACTATGTCTTGGATGGCTGGATGATTGGGGAGTTGAGAATGAGGCCCTGGAAAAATCCAACAATGTACAGATGGGCGGAAAAAGATGTAAATTATCCATTTCAAACCTGCACATTTTCACATCATTCAAAATGAACACAGTGTTTGCATAATCTTCCTGTGTCAGCACATGAGTCTCCTATACCACTCAAAATGGTATAATATTGTAGTTTGTGAATTAATCGCACACTCGCAACTTTTTTGATGGGGAATTACGGTTGTGAGTTGGACCTAAAAGCAGACAGACAATTAACCAACCATTTTCCTGTTTTATTTTGTATCTTGTTAGCCCTGTATCTTTCTCAGTTCTACTTCCTGTTGTGTGATGACCTGCCCCGCCCTCATGTGTTTCACCTGTGTTTCGTTTGTGGTTAGTGTATTTAAACCCTGTGTGTTCCGTCACTCCATGTTTCGTCTTTGTCAATGCTGTCTCTCTTTCCATTCTTGTCGTCCCTGTTTTGGTTACTTTTGTTGTCTATCCTGGATTTTTTGATTACTAAATGTATTATTGCAGTTCTGCCTTATGACAGACACAAAATAACCAAGCAAAAAAATCCCTAAATAACTCACAGTACACACACTAAGAACACGGGTGTTTCTGACACCGAAGTGGAGTCTGAACCAGAGCTTTAAGGACAGGGCGATGAGTGAATCTGAAACGGGTATGAATGCCTCACAGCAGTAGATGAGCCAGCCGTGCCCCCGGTCACATACATGTCCTGAAGAACAGACGGGGATGGGGGAGGTAGAGCACAAAATATACATGAACCTAACATGGGGTCTGCTATCCATTTGTTTCCTTGCTGTGCTCTGCTTGGAATGAACCTCAATCTGAAATAAAATGTATTATTCAATCGCAAGTGTGTGTGTAGACAACCTCTAAACATTAATCTTTTAATCACAAAGCACAAAACATTGCGTTCCATGTTGTACCACGCCAGTGTATTTAAGCTCTGCTCCAGAGCTTATGTGCTTTGGAGGCGGCCCACTCGATCGATGGCTGTAATTGGCTGCAGTTCTGTGGTAACTCCGTAAACACGGTTGACATCCTCTGATTCCTCTGCATGTTTGCCCAGGGATAAGGACTGATCTGTCTGCACACAGCAAGCGGAGACGGCGGAAGCACTGTTACATCAGCATGATTAATGGGGCCTACAAATACATGGAGCTTTCATACACTTTCACTTTTGTACATTGTTTGAGGAAGAAATACTAAGCAATATTCATGGCTCCTGGAAGTGATGTCAAGAACTTCAATCCTATTATTTAAGAGAAAACATTGAGCATATGAGCAATGAGATTTATTGTTGATTAGTTTTTAACACGTAGGAGCCATTAGTCCATAGGGTAGTGGGATAGCCAGTGAATATAAATCCCCCCGTATTGACAAGGATTACTCAAAGAACCCAGTGGATTTTTTTTTAAGACTTTGGTTAGGCCCATATTGAGAGGACATTTGCCCACGTCCAGATAGAGCAGCTGTAGATGCAGAACTGAGGCAGTAGATCCGGAGGCAGTAGATCCGGGACTGAGTGTGGTGTTTTGGCTCCCTCGTGTGGTTTTGTTTTGTATTTCAGGCTTGGTTCCTGTTGGGTGTGGTCTTCGAGCAGGCACAGCCGTCTCCATTTCCCTCATCGCTGCAGTACAAAAACACAACAAGCTGTTCTCCACTCATCGTCAGATTGTTCCGTGTTCCACCATGATGACAGTTTTACCTTGCCTAAGAGTATTTGACTTTGTGACCTATCTTTTTAATTATTTTTATTTCTATGATCCCAGTTCACACATACCCACTAACACTGTGGCTGAAGCACCAGGACTGAGGCTGTAGCTCAAGGAACTGAGGCTGTAGCTCCAGGACTGAGGCTGTAGATCCAGGACTGAGACTGAGGCTGTAGATCCAGGACTGAAGAGGCTCCTCGGGATGTTTCCCCCTCCATGCCTATCAGTCCGGGCTGGAGCGACCCGTTCACAGGTATTCAAAAGGCCAGGTGCAGGGGTGCCATTATAACAACATGAAAAAGAAAATGGGCGAGCAGATGGATACTACTGAACAGAATACAAAATATCATACAAATATTGATAGTAATACAACTCTATGGCTATGACATTAATTTGGTAAATAAACTCATACTTCCATCAGTCGATTCATGAATTTACAAAGTGTTATTGTCCGCCTACAGTCCAAAAGTAATTTGGGCAAACACACAAGCTGTTTGTAATAAATGTTTGTGATAATGTTTTGTGCACTCACATGCAGCAGCAGTAATCCGCTTTGACCAGGGAAAATACAAACTTATTTAAGCCTTTGTAAATAACTCAAGCATGTACTAAGTGTTTTGAGTGTGTATAGCAAGAGGAAACAAGTACAAAATTGTTCGATTTGTAAATAGATTTTGCTTGTTACATCCCCTTAAAATGAATTACACACCATTTTGATCAACTTTAATAGATATAAATATATAAACCGTAATCCTATTTTACAGACGAAGACCAAAGTGATTTAGTTCACATACGAGGCTGTAAATGTGTTTCTCTGATCAACAAATCTCACCATAAGTTGTGGGAGACCAGCACAACGGACCAGTGAACAGTGACTTTGGAGGTGATCTAAAACACTGTGTTCCAGGACTTAAAAGAAGGAAGTGCTCTGAGTGCTTTTCTTGTTGTTTATATTATCCTCTGTAGTGCATTTGTTAAATGTGCTACTTCACACTATTTGGCATTCTATAAATATAACAAAAACTCCACACATTCTCCCTTTCAAATTAAAATAGATACTTTATTGATCCTCTGTAGGAGAAATTCAGGTGTTCAGCAGCTGAAGAATCATCCAGGTCTCAAGAATGTACTTCCTTCTCTTCAATGTAGACGGAACACTTTCAATCTATGCTGTGGAACATTCCAGGACAAACAACAACATTTAGATGAATTCAAGAATAAACGTTGACCTTCGATCAGGAAAGATCGGCACTTATATAGTCAATTGATCTCCCTCCATTTGTATTTTTACAACCTATTGTCTCTGGGTATGTAGTGATGTCATCTGAAAGCCAGAGATTATGGCGTCTGACTGTGTCCAAACTACTTCATTAAAACCAGATAAGAAAGTATTCTACACTTTATGCAGCCTTCTTACAAAACACTCCGAAAGTTTAACTCGTGGCTCAGTTGTTAGAAAACTTCCCAGAGTCCATTATGCTTGACCTGTATGCTAATCACATATTAGCATTTTGCTAACTCGCTGTAATGAAGCCAAATGCAGCTGAACTTTTCATTGTCATTTGTTCATAGCTTCACTGCTGACAGTAAAATGGTTTCATTCAGAAATGCAGTTCACATTGGAGAGACCCATGAGGAAAATGCCGTCAGACTTAGATTTAAGCATGTTTATTGATTGAGCATGTTTGGCGCCCTAGGCCCGGGAGGGATGCTGTTGAGCACGGCGCTTGCTCGCGTGCATAATCCCCCCCGGGGCCTAGGCACTGGTGGCGGCAGAGGCAGTAGGCAAGCACGCTTTGGTGAGAAAAGGAGGAGGTGGGGCGGCGGAGGCTTGCAGACTTCAGAAGGCCGGGAAAGGGGGAGTCTCCGGCTTTTAACTTGCTGTCCTGGTGGTTATTGGTTGGCTGGATGTGGGCGTTGCTGGTCTGATGAGCTGAGATGAGCTGAGAACATGCGCGCACGCGCATGTTCAGCCAGACGCTGAAGCAGAGGAATCTTTGAGCGAGCTGAGAATATGAGCGCACGCTCATATTCAGCCAGACGCTGAAGCAGAGGAATCTTTAAGCGAGCTGAGGACATGCGCGCACGCGCATGTTCAGCCAGACGCTGCAGCAGAGGAATCTTTGAGCGAGCTGTGAATATGAGCGCACGCTCATATTCGCCAGACGCTGAAGTAGAGGAATCTTTGAGCGAGCTGTGAATATGAGATGCACGCTCATATTCGCCAGACGCTGAAGCAGAGGAATCTTTGAGCGAGCTGAGAACATGCGCGCACGCAGCAGGGGAGTCTTTGAGCGTTTGAGGAAAGTGCGTGCCGCCACCAGAATCTTATTGCTTACTTGCTTTGCTGGGAGCTTACGAGGAAGCCGGTAGACGTTGTGCTGCCATGATAGCGGTCGCATCTGGCCTGATGTAGGTGGAGAAAGCCGAAGAGGACCAGCGCCCCAGCTGTTGCAGAGAAGAGTGGGGGAGCCCCAGCGAGGCCGCGCGCGTGGCAGCGCCTATCCTGAAGGAG